CAACATTGCCTCCTGACCCCCAACTCCTGCAGTTACCTCCAGGATCAAATCATTTTCATCTGTTTCTTCTGAGGGAACCAGAAGTAAGATAATCTGTAAATAAAAAAATATCACCCCTTCTATAATAAATCATTACTCAAAACTTTGAAAAAGAGGCAAATGGTTAGATGCAGAATTTTAAATATTTAATTTACTTAAAAGTTTCTCTAAGCAAACTTAATACTGCTGATTACTTCCAACCATCTTGCCAATTAGAACCGTAAAAGCATAATCTCTAAAAAATATTAATATTACCACCTATGTTATAAATGTTATAAGGTTCAGCTAGCACTTACAGGTGTTTTTTTTTTTGGTGTTCATGTATACTTTACATCAGTTCTCTATTCAGTGAATGATTAAGTACCTGCTGTGAGTAGGACACTATTGTGTGAAGAAAGCAAAAGAATCTATCCTTTTGAAATGTGCAGCCTAGCATGATAGGAAAAAAAATTGCATTTTTAAAAAAATCTTTAAGTGGAAAAGAAACTTGCAATTTTGGAAGTGAAAAGGCCCTTCGAAGACCTGGTCCAATTCCCTCATTTTACATGTAAAGGAAAATGAGGTTAACAAAGGTTAAATGATTTGTTAAATCTTCTACTCATAGCCTACCCCACCCTCATCTTTTAAATAAACAAAAGAGAGGATACAGAATAACAATATTACCTTGCCTTTCTGGCAAATCCTATTCATGTAACATTCATCCTTGTGCCAGAGCTTTATAAATCCTTTTAGTATGCTAAAAATAGGACCACAGGGAGTACCTTTTTCCGGCTTTAAAAAACAGTTTATATTTCTAAATACTAACTAAGTAAGTCCTAAGTTGTTTTTATTAACATCTAATAAAAGTCTTTAGAAATAATAGCACTAATGCTACTTTATTCTTTGTATAAATACTATACCTGATGCTTCAATTGAGCGATTTCTTTTTGACAGGAAGCTATTTCATTCTCTGCAAGTTTCCTTAGGTCTTCATTTTCATCTAAGAGATAAAGGCAATAGTAGGTTAAGTTTTCCTTAATTAGTGCTAAATTGCCAACAGAATTTAAGGAAATAATTTTGTTACTGTAGCTGAAGGGAAAAATAAAATGTCTTTCTTGTCCTTTTAATAGCTGCCATTAATTCAAAATAGCATTTTATGCATTCGTTTTCATAAACATGTAGCTTTAAAAAATATTTTGCTGATGATAAAAGAAAGCATAAATAAAAGGTAACCTATATAAATATAAAGAAGCTTTTGAACTTCGTTATAATTCTACCTCCATGAAATATTCATATTAACAAATATTCTTTTAGTTTCTCTTAAATCACTTAATTTGGACTCTGCTTAACTCTGACCTTGACTGTTGCATGAGCCTTCATACTGCTGTCCATGTCACCTTCACCCTCATTCCAGGCTGACTTCTAAGCCACCACAAATCCAGCTTCCTAAGCCACAAATCTATTTTAAACATTCACTCCCCAATCTAAAAACTGCTGGCTCCCTTCTGCCAACAGGATAAAATCAACCTTTTTACATTAGTATTTGATGGTCCCCTTTGTGGACGAAAGGGGCCACATGCTGACCTGACAAGCTCAGGGGAGGCCTGCATGGAGGTCTTGCAAACTCGGAGACCTAAAGTAACCACAAAGGATGGTCTGAAATTAAACTTTAGCTAAAAGCAGTTATGGTGGGCAGTTACATCCTGGGCCAGTATCTTCACTGACAAGGTCAACCTTTACCTTAACTGAGCCTATCTGTCTTTTTGCATCTATGATAACAGACCCTTAAAAATGTCTGAGGAAACTTGTGGACTTCCCCTTTTCTCTGGAAGCCCCTGGGGCACAACCCAGGTGGTGCTTGGGCCCCAAGGAACAGATACCAACAAAATTCCCTTTCAATCATTCATGGTAAATTTGGTCCTTGCCACCCACCCTAAGGAATGGTGGTCCCATTCAATTTTTACTTTTTTATTCCCAATCCCCCAGGGGGTTT